ATTACCATCAAGAGTCAAGTAGGTATTCCTGTTTAGAAAGCTTTGACAGAAGAGAAAGTATTGCTTCGATGTATCAAAACATATATCAATTCTCCAATTCTTATAAAATAATAATAATAAATATTTAGGAGTAGTATTGGAGCAGTTAATAATATAAATACATATAAAAAATTTAGTAATAAAGAAAATTAGCCATCGAGGTTCGTTGTAATCTAAAAAATTATATTCATTCTCAATATATTTGGAGAAAAAATTTCATACCACTCATACTACTTATTACCACTCTCTACCACCTTCGTTTTCACTCAAATTTTGAACTTTTTTGCATAGAAAGAACGAGTTTATCGTGATCTATTGGATCTTCAAATTTATGGTGGAGATTTCAGGATCAAATATATATAACAGTATACCATGGTATATGATGGTAACTGGTGGTAGACAGTGATAAAATGTAATAAATAACGAGTATATTCATACCATCATGGTCCACTTCCATACTACTATGATATAATCTTGTGGTCTACCAAATATTACCACCATGAAATAGACTGGTAATATATGTGTAATTTTTTTTTTTCTCCAAATCATATCAAAGTGGATGTCATTTTTTTTTTTTACAAATTTGTCCCAATTTGAACTAAATAAAAAATTAACCAATGAAATTTAGGATTTTCAGTTGGATTCTATTATCCACGTTTCATCCAAATAATAATAAAAAAAATCTTTGAAATTAATTTCTATGAGACATTCCATAAAATTTACTTTTCTTTAATTTCATACATCTCGTGAACCAAACTGAAACTGGTTAGTTTATTTGATGGAACTTTAATAAGGCGTCATTTTCAAGAGTTTATCGCAAACTTAATTTTTCCATCCTATCACAATCAGAAAGGCATGCGTGTCTGAGCTTCTTATTTTGTAATGGAACATGGGGTGGGTTGTGGGCTTGTGGCCCTTGTGTCATGATCCAAACATGGCCCAACATGTTACATTCAAGCTTCATGTTTTTGTTTTGTTTTTCATTTTGGCCACCTTTTTCCGTTGGAAAGTAACAAATAAGGAGTCGAGATGACCAAAATACAGGAAAGTCCAAGTTGTGCACATGGTGTGCAATTTGTCCACCATTATGCCAACAATTGCACATGTAAAAAGAGCAGGCGATATTGATCCTCAACAAAGTTTTCACAATAATAAAAAAAAAAATTGGAAATAATTTCCCATAAGACATAAGAAAGAATACAACTTTAGTTGACAAAATAATTTTTGAGATGAAATGGAGAAGTTATTGTATGAGTGGATGAGTAATTTCAATAACGACGAGTTTAGACTCAAATCCCTTATTTAAAAGGCAGACAATTTGTTTATAGGATTTGTGTCAGTTTACTTGTTCATTTAAGGATGCAGATTTTCAATTAATAGTCTACATATGGACCAAAATTCACATTTGCCTTCCTTTTCAATTCATATGTTCTTCCTCTTCTACTAACCGAAACCCAGGAAAAAACCTTCCTTTCTCCGTTCTTCTTCCCGATTCCAGATCTAGAGTTCCATCAATTAGGGTTAGTCATGAGTGAAAGTCTCCTTATCAAATATATTTAAGTTGTACCGAAGAAGTTAAATATAATTAGAAAATTTTGTTTTTGTGAATATATCCGGGTAAAATGATGATATACTATTGGCCCGTTGAAATGTGGCATTTTCACTTTTTATACTATACTAGGTCATTTATACGCCGCGCTTCGACATGCGTGAGTTCTTTTTGTATCGCTTGTTAATCAAAATAACTTAAATTTTTTATAAATAAGCTATTGAAACGATCAAAAGATGTCATCATGGTGAAAGAACAAACATGGTAATTATTTCGTAATAATTGTCATTCCTAGCTCCAACCATGGAGACTCTAATACGTTAACATCACTTTCCAAACCCACATTAATTTTCACCATATGATCATCACTCTTTATCCTATAAATTAAACTACTTGCCCTCAAAACCACCCACCAAAGAGTTCAAAAATGTTGAAGGAGTTATAAGAAGTTATATAACTTGAGGAGCCAATAATAATTAGAGAGGCTGCCCTGGGGTTCGATGTGCTGAACAAATTTAGATTTGAGAGTATATCAGTTATATAATCATATGGGAAAATCAAGTATAAATCAAGTATCTTGAAAGACTTACGCAACAATCCACACTCCTCTACATTAAGAAAGATGACTAATCTTTTCTCTCGTTCTAACCCCCTGTGCATAAAATGACGCCAACTTTCTGCTATTTCTTCGACTCTTGTCATCCACACAAGCATGTGAATTGCTCATCTTACTTTTAATTAATGGATTTTATTTGATTTAGAGAGGCTAGTGTAGTGACTATGAAGGGTGTGAAAGTCAATAAGATATAATGATCATTTGATATGTTTGAATACCTTGCTATTTGAGTCTATTATGAATTCTTATTATGCAACGAGTCTCCACTTTTTAAAAGATTTTTGTTTGTAGGGTTAACTGTACTTTTTATTAAATGAAAAAACTATCAAAAAGAGACATGAAAAGATTTTCTATGTATTTGACTTACAAGGAAATTAAGTGTGGGGCTAGTAAGCCCAACATGTGAGGTATTAATTCATTATACAAAAAGAATTTTGGAGGAAATACCAATTGAGTTTCGGTTTGCTCCCATTCGATGTTGGTTCCTCTCTAGTACAAGTAAAATTTTCACTCGTCGAATGGATTGTCAGTTTTATGATGTGTTTTTTAGGGCATGGATAAAGCTTTCAACATCTCTCAAGTTCATTGACCATCTACACAAATTGAAGAAAAGGAGTTAGAAGAAGTATTCTAATGAATGCATAATTACAGAAATTGTTCCTACGCAACTAAGGAAAAAATGGTACAGACTCTCGAGTTTGCGATGATGGTATATTGGCGATGATCGCTTCATCAAAATCTATAGTAATCAAGGGTTGCATGTATCTAGTGAAGAGCTCTTCTAATCGCCGCTCCTAACTTAGTGTCATCTCGTTTGAAGTTGGCAGGGTTATGGTGACACATGATACCGGTGACGTAGCAACAAGAAGGTTAACGACGTCTTGTGCAACGGCCAATGTAGTCAAATGTGCATTTCTATGCTGAAGCGAAAACATGAGTAATAACGTAAAAACGTAAGTTTTTGTGTATAATCTAACTAATCTTCATTAAACTACCCGTCTCACTTAATAAGGTTACTACTCATGAAGATAAAGTAATTTTAAAAAATTTTAAAAGTGGAGCAAACATACAAATAAGGAAATAATGCAATAAGGAAATAATGAGGCTTCTTCGTTCATAAAAAATATAACCAATTAACGACTACACCTCATTATGGAGCCGTTTTGTTTCGATTTGGATGTCAAATTAAAAATGATTACCGATGCTTCTTTTATTATGATTTATGAGATTTTTAATCCACTGAATGCGAGAAATAAGTTTATTAGTAAATAACTAAATATTAATCACCTAAGTCGCACATCAAACAACGAAGTAATCACTTGATGAAGTTGTGGTGTAACATCCTCGTCCATCTTGAACATGTCATATGTCATGCTCGCATCAAGGTGACATCATTCCAATGTTTAGACGATTTTTAAATTATGAACCAACACCAAACCTTGAAGGAACTAGAAAATTTAGGGGGAATTAGAGCCGGAGAATTGAGAAGAAAAGAAGGAAAGGATGAGAGGAATAGAGGAGCTGCATAATTTTTGTTTTGCAGCAAGGCAGTGAGTTCAAGAGGGGATTCCAAAAACACTAGTAATTGGATCGTCCTGAATTTTGGGAGACACATTCCACACATTCTGAGATATGATCTGACCATTTGAATTATCGTTACGATATCTGCTTTGTCGCAAAATGTTGCTGGCCAGACAGGGTGCGATCTTGTTTTCCTATAGCTAGGCAGTTTGTTCCGGGGAGGATTTCAGAGAAAATAACCGTTGGATCGTGCTCAAACTTTGAGGACAAGTTCAAGACTCTTTGTAGGTCGAGTTGACCGTAGGGATCAATGTTCAGAGCACTGGTTTGTCGGGACACAATACTTAACAGAGGGTGTGAAATGGTTGAAAGTCCTTCAACTCGAAACATACAAAGACGTATTAGAAACACATTTTGACTATTTTTTAGCGTTATAATAATTTTTTACCGTTGTTTTAACGTTTTTGCACACAATACATTTTTATATAGAAACTGAAGTGTTTTGCCTAGCCAGAAACGTAAAAATGTGCGTTTTAAGATGAGTTTTCGACTACATTGGCAATGACAAAATCAGTGTTTCATTGCAACTTGGCTTCTTGATCCCATTGGCCTTGAAATGGTGGATTCCCATGTGATGTAAGAAACTCTTGTTGTTGACATTCTTGATAACTAAACCGAGGGTATGATCAATGTGGTGAATTGATGTTGTGGGCCTTGGGGCCTAAGACACTCGTATTACTGAAAAATCATGGTAAGGAAGCAGTGCGTATTGAGCTTGAAAGTGACTCTGATTAGCTGCAGCATATTGTGAATTCATGGCTTCCACAGAAGTCTGGCGGCCGAACTCTCCAGGTCTTGGTGATAGTCTTGAACGGAATGAGAATAATACAACCATGGTGAGTGATGTGAAGATGGGCGGGTACGACGTTAGAGACGCACGTAGCGGAGCCGGATAGGTTGAACAACAAGCAGCCCGTCGAGGAAGGATTCCTCATAATTGCATTGCCATAGAGCATAACCCTCTTCCATTGGATGTTGCATTAGCGAATTCAACAACAACCGGACTCTGATACCAATTGACACATGATCTATTTCACATGTTGAATGTCTTGAACTCGATGAGAAATCAACTACAAAGAACTAGTGAAAAAGTTATAGAACTACAACCAAATACTTATAATACTTGACTTCGTGTTCATGAATTTAACGTAGAGCAAAAGTACATATTAATAGAACTAATCTCATAACCCTTTTTCGACTCAAATAAGGAAACTAATCCAATAAAAGTATACCAACAAGTAAACAATACACCGTTAATAATACAAAACAAAACCCCAAATAATCAAATAACCAACCGAAATAACACAATAAACATAACTATATTAGTAATGATGACAGCCCGTTAATGCGTAATGCATCACTTTCAATAATAAGTACTAGAACGCCACTTCTCCCATGTTGTTTATGAACTCTGCTAAGAGAATAATTTTTAACTGACCCAAGTTCATCAAGCAATAAAACAACTGCTACAAAAAGGCAGAGAATCTCTGTACAAGAACACCCAATAATTTCAAATTTTGTTCTCACTTACCAACAAATCTACGATTTCTGTTTTAAAACTAGCCAATTGGCAGGCTTCAAGCACAGGCTAAAGTGACTAGCAGCAACTCTAAATGCTTATAGGCTTCCGGTAGGCGCCTTTGAGCATCCGACAGCTCCTACATCAGCGGAATGAGAGCCCAATAGCTGTGAAGAGTATAGCCCACCATTCCTGAGCTTTCCTGGGAATGCTTTCACCGAGTTTCCTTTAACAGAACTCAAACGACGACGGTTTAGCATCAACATGGTATTCCGCGGTGGTACCTGCAGAGCTCCTTCCTCGAGCAATTGCCTTCTAAACTTTGGGAAGCTGTTCCTCAACCTAGCAAAGATCTTGTGATCAGGAGAATCTCCCTCCTCAAATCTGGAACAGATGGGGCATGGCGGGTCGCTTTTATGCAACTTGGGCGTTATCTGGTCCAAGCATTCAGCATGAAAGAAATGGCGGCATGAGAGAATCCCAGCGACAGGCATGTCTCCACTTCGCACAATTCTGCGAGAGCTGTAAGGAGATCTGTGTGAAAGGAACCTTTCACACAACCCACATTTGAAACCATCTGAGGAAGTAGATGATGAACGACCTGGATTGGCTGACTCGAGTGTTTCACAAACGTCTGCAAAATCAGTGCTACTGCTGCTAGCACTGCTTCTCCGGCTATATGCATCTTTTTGACTGGTTGAAGCATCTCCGGGGGAATGGAAGGGGAAGGACAAAGGATGAATGGGTTTTGACAAAAAGGACCGGCGGCTAGAGAAATTGCAATGTGAAGATAGGCATGACTTGAAGGAAGTTTCAAAGTCGCTGACGTCTGAATTTGATGAAGAGAGCCTCCCTCGGTTTGCTGAAGTTCCCTGCACGGTAAAAAAAAAAAGGTAATAAAAATTCAAGAAAGATAAACCGAGTGAAAGTAGTAAAAAATAGAGTTATGCTAGCTACCTCAATAGTTGGCGTGGAGGGGAATTTCCCAAGAACTTCAGCTATAAGGCACAAAGAGGAAGAAGAAACTATAAGAGGAGGATCAATAACAGAAAAAACAGACATCTGCTCATATAGATTATATTGATGTTCTAGTATACATGGGTTCCCCCCCCCCCCCCCCCCCCCTTCCGCTATATATATATATATGACATATACAAAAGCAGTCTGAACCAGTGAGCCACATCCAGATACAAACATTTAATTCATTAAGCTAGCTTTGGTACCAGCATTCAAGAAATATGGATACCTATGTCCGTAGGCATTTCAAATGTCCACCATAGCCCAAAAGGAGAGACATTACTAGGACATGCCCAATATGTCAACCAAGTAAAGTAACATAGCAAAGGGCCAGATTCAAGCAGGAACTTAGGGAGGAAAATAAAAATTAAGCAAGAAGGGTGAGAGCTTTGGTCATCCAAGTTACACTGCAGAACTCATTTCCTGTTTGTTAAGACATAAACTCCAGTGTCTACAAGCTCGGAGGCTAGGACCAAACAGGTTAAAGAGCCAAAATGTGGCTCTATTTTCTGCAGGACCAGGTTCTAAACAAAACTTGCTAACTAAAAAACCATAACTATCCATCTTACTTCTTATATTAAAACCTCACCATGATTTTTATGATAATGTTGGTATCAATAGGTTCAAAACATGATGATGGACATCATTTTACTTGGTTGCTTCTCATCTATAGTGTTTTTACATATATTACTTCCTAATATGACTATGCACTACAGATTCAATACAGTGTCTACTAGAGTCCAGAGATGAACACAAAAAACATATGTAGGAAAACTGTAGCTTGTTACCTCTCCTTGTAGCAGCTTCATAGTCATCAAAACTAAGTTCTTGTACCACTGGCTGTGCCCACTGTGGACCATGAGAATGTTCAGGACTACTGACCAAAGGCCCTGCACCATCATACTGATGACTGTAAAAGGGATTGCCCCTAATCAATCTAGCCTCTTTGACTGTCGAGGATGTTGAGGACCTATAAATTTGGTTGCGAGCATTGGATTCATAGGGCAGGTCTTCAGATGAAAATCTAAAATCCCATCCCAAAGGAGGCGGGGAGAAGCTTGAATTAGTCTGCCAATAAGGTTCGTCTGGATCAGTGGACCAGTCTCCACTGGCTGCACTTGACCCATGCGGCCTCGCGGCCACACAACAAAGGGAACCCGTTTTAGCTATTTTCAGGACACCACGAGCAAGAGAACCAATTCCACTTCCTTTAGGCCCCAACAGACTTCAGCGTAGATCACTCATCATAATTCTGCAGCAAAACTGAACCACCTCATATACCATGTACTAAATAAGGCCAAAAGTAACATTCCTCCACCAACTATCAACTCCTTGATGTTCAACACCAATTCAGAAAGCTGTCAAAATCAGGGTCTCCAGTAAAATGGGTCTGCAGCAGCAGGACCTGCAAAGGGGGGAAAAGAACCCCAAGACCCTTTTAGTGAATTGCTGAATCGAAATACCATTTTGGAATTATATGCCCAATAAACCTACATCAGCAGTGCTCACAGGCAATAGATGATGAGAAACGACAGCAAACTAGAGTAACCAAGATAAGAAGGGGAAAATGCAACGGAGAACAGAGTCCCTTGAACATAAACACAGAGTTATCAAGTTCAATATTCATACAGAAGTTATCATCGTTAACAAGAAGCACCACAAAGCGCCTTTGTATATGCGGGGAACAACACTATGGGGAGGAAAGACAGAGCTAGGAAAATTCACGAATGGGTGCGAGAGGAGACGAAGGCACAGTGAGATTAAGCATACCAAACCCTAGAAGCTAGACACAGTGAACTGCAGAAGGCGAGGAAAAAGCGGAAATGAAGTCACTAGAAAATCCACCTGCGCTACTCGGTCAGCTACCCAGGTAAGGAAAATGGAGACAAAGTGAAACCCTACTTTTTTTCGGCGAGCGATGAAGATCAACGGAAATGCGAAGGGGAAGAGCCTCTCTTCCTGCTGTGGCAGTGCTGAATTGAAAACTGGAAAAGTGATGAATAAATCAAATTCTAGCAAGAGGAACTGAGGAAGGTTGTCAAAATGAGTTTTATTGTTCAACCGGTTTTGCAAGTTGCAAGTTCTAATTGGAGTAGAGTGAGTTTATTTGTCGGTTTATAAGGTTGTTATTTGTTAATATGATTATATGAGGGAGTGAGAAACTATTAACACCAAATAAATATATATTTATATAATTTATTTTAAGAAAATTTACTTATAATCTCCATTTATATTTTAATGAAACACTACACTATAACAAAAATTAAAAAAATTTATATTTAAATACAATATTTAACGTCAATATTCAAATGTGTATACTTAAATCTAACAAATAACATCAACATTTAAATGTTCACACTTGAGTCGACAAATTTCTTTATTTTTTAGTTAGTTCCATCAAAGCGACATCTTTTTGTTCAGCGACAGGAAATTGATTGTTCCTGCCATACCACTCTTTCTTCGATTTTGATAAATTTTTACCGTTTTGGGCTACTATTTATATCGATGGTCTTCTAACCGAAATTTTCTAGTACCGGTTGAACTCAGTGGTTTGACAATCATACTCCATACTTTAACAATTATGCCAGCCTTTCCCTCTGCAAACCATGGTTTTCAAATCAGCTTCATGCCAATCAGTTCAACCCGGTCCGACTAGTATAAGACATCAGACTGGTTGGAAGACTTTGGTTTGCAACAACAATTAAAGTTGTTCAAAATCGGAGAAATTGGTTGGTCTGATTGGAATGACCAATTATCGACTCATAAAGAAATTCAACCATATTACGGGCAAAAATAGAGCTAAACAACTACTAACCAGGGGCCGTCGTACTCCAATATTAACAGTCTAGGACTGTTTAATAAAAAATAATGAATTTGGCCGTATTGTCTTCACACCAATCCCCAAACCCTCAATCTACCCCTCTCTGCTCAGTTCTTATCTCTTGTTCCCATACAGTCAATAATAAGAAAATTATCATCAGCGAGGGGTTCTCCTTCCTCCTTTTCTCGCTTCTAATGTTGTATTTTATTTAAGTTTAAATGTGAATAGTAAAAAAATTTATCTTAAAAAATTTATATACGTGAATAATTCGTTTAATGTTAATTGTATTCCACATTTTCTACTATTTTGTAAAAACCGAAATAAATTGATAGGAGTTCAGCTGAACTCGGATCCAATTATACCACTTGCTTCACTTAATTGACTACCTTGTTGAAAACCCGTTGCTTTCCACTATTGCCGTTAACTCCACTTTTATTCAGAATTCCTTTTTGCTTCGTAGTTGTTCGTTTTGATTTGTTTCGGATTATGTGGGATAAAAAATTGCCAAAAGATTCATCCATTTTTTTTTTTTTTTTTTGCCAAAAGACAAATGTGGACAATGAAGCAGTAGCGCGTTTATTTGTTTCGGATTTTCCTTAGAAAGATGCTCAATAATTGAGCAAGGAAACGTAATTAAAAAAAAAAAAAAAGGGGTCCGGCTGATTAGGAATATTATTACGGAAAACATCAAGCTTATCATTTAACGACAAATAATTTGGTTGTTGAGACAAGAAATGATTGGACAAACTACTATACTACAATATATATTTTGCTTGTTTCTTAGATACTAATTAGTTTTCGACAAAAAAAATACTAATTAGTTAAGGTGAGGTAGAAATGTATACATCCCTTGCCCACACGACTACCCTACTACACTTTCATCAGGCAGTTCGGTCAACTTGCAATTTTGAGCAAATCCGGCTAGGATCTCTCACTGTGACACTTTCTTTTTTACGGTAACTAGAGGTATCAAACATAATCCGACTTGAGTAATTTGTCCGATTTACCCAATCCACAACCTGAATTGACTAAAAGAGTAAAAGGCAATAATCTGTAATCCGTCCGACACGTAACGTGATTAAATTCATAATTCGATTGGTTCAAACCTCAATAACATGTCCGATTGACCTGAATAATTACTATATTATATAATATATAGTCTTTCAAAATGATGTACCTAAGTAAAATCGTTTTTTAATAATGTTAAGGAAGGTTCAAAATATGAAATTCACTTGAACTTATTAGACCTGACAAATTAGGACGAGACCCGTTGACCCGACCTGAAACAGAGCGAGAAATTAAAATTTGATTGCATTTTTATACACCAAAATCCGAATGACCCAAAACCGATTAAACCATAACTTTTTTGGTTGGGTGGGCCAATGGGTCGACCCCTTTAACTCGTTCCATATCGTATCTCACTCTCAAAATGATAAAATCACTCATAAATTGGTGAGATATTTAACAAAATTAAAACATGATATGAAAGACAAGTTTGGAGTGTAGGGATCATCAAATATCACGTGATTCTTGTAGTAGTATTACTCTTATTATGTTTTTTGGCAGTTTATGCAATTTGTATTCCTTTCATTAGCATATGAGGGTTTGAGAATATTTGAGTTGGAATAATGGAATGTGTTAGGCAAACTATTGACATACATATATGAAAATTTGTGTTGTTAAAAAAATATGAAGCATATTTATTCTTGTTTCCGAGAACGCTCCTAACCCGAAATGACCCGAAACCATACCCAATAGTTTTGGGTTAGGTCAATATTTGATCCAAAATTAGCTAGTGCAAACATGACCTGACCCCTGACGACCTGTAACTGATCGATTCATTCCGTGCAAGTCATTGTCAATAGTTAGCACGTTTCAATAACTAGTCCATTCTAGGCCAAGTTTATCCTAAAATGGCGTTGTCATATAGCGACTTACCCAAACACAATTAAAGCTAGAGAGCATTAAAATCAATTAGATAAACAGATTCATTCAAAACCCTAAAATATTCATATGTTACATAATAGCTCTAAAACTAGGGTTTGAGGTTTAGAACCCCTAGTACCTTAGAAGACTACTCCACAAAGGAGACAAGAAGATACATAGAAGAAATTGGAGAAGACTTGATGTTGAGGAAGATGGCTCCTCTCTTCTAGCTTCTCCTCCTCCTTCTCCTTCCTTCAACTTCTCTCTCTCTCTCTCTAACCTGAAATTTCTATCTCAAAATTAGCCCTCTTCAAATGGAGGAAGGGGTCTTCTATTTATTGCCTTCATGGGACGGACAAGTTCACGACCAGGCTGGGAAAAGATCGCGGTCATGATCTTCTTCTTTGACCTGATTAACCCTTAACCTGATCAACCCATAAACTAACTGACCCATAATCCGATGAAGCCGCAACCCGATAAATCCAAACTCAACTGAACTGCAACCCGACTAACCCTCAACCTAATAAATCCAAACTCAACTTACCTGCAACCCGATTAACTCGTACCAATTGAACCCATCTCAAACCTGCCCAAACCTATATGCTTGACACCAATAACAATGACCAACTCCCTTTACGACACCTTTCCTTCTGATGCACATTCCGATTCAATACTTACTATAAGGTTTTTTGTTTCTTCAAATACGTGTCGTCCCCACGGTTTAAGTCAATAGGTTCTGCCATCTATTATTTAACGTCGTCCCCAATTTTAGGTACGCATAGTCGTCTCTATAGATTCAAATATCCAAATATATTTATTTCCCATCCTTTATGAATTGAGGATACCATGTCTTTTCCTATAGAGTGTTACGTTTCCGAGATGAAAAATAGTCATTTTCATGTTTTTATTCAACAAGTTGTCTCCTAAATCATATTTTGAGACAAAAAGTGGTCTCTCATGTTTTTGGAGATGATAAGTGGTATTTTATGTATTTGGGTAATGAAAAATTAACGTCGTTGTAACTTTAGGAGAAAGCATATCGTACTTATCTTAGTAGAGTGAAAACTCAATATTTGTCTCCAAAATATATTTATAGGAAGGAGATAATGATCATTTGCAAGGATGAATATTTTACTTCAACTCGAGATAGCTTTTGCGAGGATGACACATAGAAATTATGATTTTAGACACTTTTATTATTGCTAACATTATATGGTTTTCACATCTTTATTGCCATAAAGTTTGAATTTGCTTAACAACCACTGAGGTGTGTTTTAGTAGCTCTAGGATTTTTTTTACTGTTTTGATGCACTTTTGATAGTGTTTCATGTGTTTTTAGACCATAACATCCTAATGAACCACCTTGTACATGTTTGGGAACATCAAGGTCAGCATGTTGGGAGTCAAATGTGAGATTGGATTGAGCTCATAATACGACCCCTAAAATAGTCGACCATATCCTAAAATTTCATCTCCGCAACCATTTGGAGCGACCCCAGATCGTGCCCAGATTCTCAAAGAATACATGGTGGCTTAGCCTGAAGAGACCCAAAGGAACACGAAAAACGTGTATAGGCTGAATTTTTCTCCCAAAAAACCCTAATGTAGAGGCATATAAATAGGCCCCTTGATGTAGAATTTCAATAGCCAGTGATAGGAGGCATTAGAGGTTCGTTGCTCTCTCAATAGGGTGGCTCACGTAACCTACAATGAAGCCAACTCAGAAGGTAAATCGGCTTCATTTTGGCGATCTTGCCGTTGATTCTTTGTTCGGGTCATTGATTTGGAGGGTTTTGGGGGATCTCATTTTGACTGATAGTCTCTCAGAAACCCGTCCCCATGGTGTGATATTTCTCTAGTTGCATAGGTTTATGGATCCTAGAGGTTCTCTGACTATGTAATTCTTAATTTTGGTATATATATGAGATTTGATTCATCTTATTTCTATGTTTGATTTCATTGTATTATCTATATCTATTGCCAGTTGATTGTGAGCTTAGTCGAAGGAATGCATCCCTTCGAGATGTGTGCTTCGAAATCTGCCTTTGGGTAGGGTGAGACCTGACATGACCATCCTCCACGATCGATCATCACTTGATTGGACTACGCGCCAACTCAAAGGAGAAAATCGTAGGGTCCTTGTTGCCTACCGGGTAAATGTCGCGACTCAAGGTAGAAATAGATCTCACGTGGACAAGCAACTAGTATGTTGTCGAGATCAAGGTTGCGAGTCAAAGGAACTCTAGGGGGGAACTTTTCTATGC